TGCCTGGCTAATTTTTCATATTTTTAGTACAGACGAGGTTTCACCGTCTTGGCCAAGCTGGTCTCAAACTCCTGACCTTGTGATCTACCCGCCTCGGCCTCTCAAAGTGCTGGGATTACAGGTGTGAGTCACCTTGCCCGGCTTGGGTCTCCTCAACTCTCTGGGATGACCTGCCTGTGGTAAGGAGCTATCCATTGTGGGTCTCCTCTCTGCTGAGAGCTGAACACTCGTTGGGACCACCTGCCACTTTGGGTCTCCTGAAAGCTCCTGAAAGCTGTTCTGTCACTCATTGAATCTCCTCTCTGCCTTGATCACCCTCCAGTTGTCCGCATACCTCATTTTTTCTGGACAAGGGACAAGAACTCAGGACCTGCCGAATGGTGGACTGAAAGAGCTGTAACACGAACACTTCTTTAGCTGAATGAGCATTGTGCTGACTTTTCTCCAGGAAACAAAATGAACATGTTCAAACAACCATGCCACCTCTTTAGTCTCCCCTTTTAAAATTCACTTGTGTTTTGTAAATACATTTCCTGATGTCTATTCCTATGTGGCTGTCCATTTTCATCTTAATAGTATTGGGCGGAGTTAGAAACTAGAAATCAACAAGTTCTCTAATATCTGGGTCTCTTGACCAAACCACAGGTAGAGAACAGAAATGCTTGTGGGAACTTGGATAAGGTATGTAAAAAATACTTTGCAAGTGGTAAACATTCTTCACATTCATTGTCGTTATCACTTATAAGGGTGGTAATCTTTGGTCTAAAAATCCCATGAATTCCTATATGACCACTCCTCTCACTAACTTCAATAAGATCTCACCTGGTAAAAATCTACCCATTTTTTAAGACTCACTCAGGGCCACTTCCTTCAAAAATCCTCCCCTGAGATTCCCAAGCAAATGTCTGCAGAACTATTGTGCCTTTCAGGATATTTCTTGTCTGCTTTGTATTTATCAGTTCATACTCAATTTTGATCTTATTTTGTCTTTTTTTTTTTTTTTTTCTTTAGAGACTAGGTCTCACTCATTGCCCAGCCTGGAGTGTAGTGGCTATTTACAGGTGTGATCATAGAGCACTGCAGCCTCAAATTCCTGGCCTCAAGCAAACTCTGGCTTCAAGTGATCCTCCTGCCCCAGCCTCCCAAGTAGCTGGGACTATAGTTGTGGGCTACCTTGCCCAGCTTATTCTGCTTATTTCTACATAAAAGTATCAATTTACTCAATTGCATTAGGAAGTTGTATCTTTCCAGAGAAATCAAGGAATCAAGGAAACATCTGTAAATTCTGGGGATAAGTTCATAAACAGAAAAATGAGGAAATTTTTTTCAAGCAAAATTTGCAAGAGGATCAAAAATGATGGTAGGTTCTAGCAGTTTCACTTCTTGGTTGCTATAGGCCTAGTTTCTTGCCATATCTACTGTTTGTGGAGATCTATTCCAAATTGATAGATGAAATACAAATAATTGTAGTGCTGAAGCTTTAATGATCTCTTTCTTTTATTCAAAACATTTACTTGGTATTTACTATGTGCCAAGCTCTAGTATACAAAGGTGAATAAGACACAGCCAGTGCTTTTATGGAATTCTCTGGTCTATGCAATAAGTGAGGCATAGACATTCTATGAAAATATCTCAAGAATCCTAGCAAATCATTCCTTTGTGTAATAATAACCAGCCTAAAGGATCATGTTTGTAAAATACTTCATTATTTGCTAAATACTGACAGTCTTATCCCATTTGCCTCTTCCCTCTTCCAGTGTCTAGTAGAGCCCTGGTTATCCATAAAGACCTAGATAAATACATACCCAATTGATCTGAAATACCTGAACTAACCACTGTTTTGAAGCCAAGTGTCTAAGACAGTAATTGTAATTAGCAATGTCTGAACATAATCTGAATTTGAATGCCTTTGGGCAAGTTATGCAGAGTTTGCCCCAGGTCCTACCATTCTCCATTGTATTAGACCTAGATGGATTCACTTATTTTTGTTGCCTGCCAAACCTAATGGGTATTTGAGTTTTGGGGGGATCTTAGAGCCAGTACTCTGCTTTCATAGGTATATGAGTAATTATTTGATCTCTAAACCATTTGTGGCATGGATAGACTACCAGTAGCCTTAAGATGCTATTCTACTGAATTTAATGGAGCACTTAAGTTCAAATTAAATCTCAATTTTTTAAGCAATAAACAACGAGTTCCCACTTTTTATAAGCCTTTATATTAGAAAGTTGTGAGAATTCATAGAAGAATCCATCATTGGAGAATTCCTAGAGGGTTTCCTCTAAAAAAGGGCCCTTGCCCTTAAAGACATTGTACAATAATTGGAAGGTTAAAACTCTCATACATGAAAAATAGTAAAACTGATATAAAACAAGTGATAAAATTGCAAAAGCCCTAGAAGTTGACTAGAGGAAGGGAGACTTCCCAGAGGGGTAGGATTTGAACTGGGCCTTTGAAGCACTGGTAGGATTTGGGGTTGAAGCTATTCTAAAGGGCACTGCATAGCTGACTCAGAAGCAGTCTCAGAGGTGCAAATGCACAGGCATGTTGAGGGGACAATGAACAGAGTAATTTGGCTGGACACTTAGGTTGAGAATGTCAAGGGCTTAATGCCAGGTAGAGCTGCCAATGGGTAGATAGTGGCAGTCACTCAAAAAACAGAGTGACAATACCAAAGGAGTATCTGAAAAAGATTAAATCTAATTTTTTTTTCAGTATAGAATTGAGGGTGGATGGAATTGGCAGACAGCCACTCAATTAGGGAGTCACTGTATTTGTCTAGATGTTTGGTAACAGGGCCCTAACTTCAGGTCAGAAAAAGGAAGCAAGGAAGAGAAAGAAGAAATATATAAGACAATTGACAAAACAATTCACTACTGATCAGCCATGCAAAAGAGACAAAGAGAAAAGCAACAAGATTGACTGTGGTTTTAAGGCCAGATCAGCAAGACAATATTGGAGCCATGGGGGAGCAAGGGGTGGCAGGGAGAAATAGAAGATCGGGAGCTGATTTTAGAGGGAAGACAGTAAGTTTGGTTTTAGTCTGGGCAAGGCATAAGTGTTCCAAAAAATTATAGGTCCAGAGTTTGGGGCAAAATTTAGGGCTAAAGATAAGGAAGTTATTTCTAATATGGAAATGTTAGTTGATATTGAGGAATGAACGAACCATCTGACGGGGAGAATATAAAAAGAAAGAAAGATTATAAAGAAAATATCTGAACTCAGGAATGTCCCAAAATTTGGAGAGTGTGAACAGAGGACCAGTGACGAAGGCAGAGACAAGGTGGTCAGAAGAGTATCAGAAGCTCCCCCAGAGCAGTACTTCTGAGGCAATGCAGGAAAATCCCTCAAAGCAGGGGCAGTTCATCATAGGGAGCTGTGAAGACTAAGAACTGGAAGTCAGCCCACAGGTGTGTTAGAAACAGCTGGAAGGCATCAGAGGTACTGGGGCTAGATAACCTTTCAGATGCCTTTGTCTATCCTGGACTTCTGTGGATTGATTTGAAGGTTATCAAGCCCAGCTACAGTGGAGCAGGGTGTGGCATGAGAAGGTGATACTGCAGTTGCCCCTTTGCAGAGTAACCCAAGTATGCAACAATTAAGACATATGACACATTTGGACATTAGTATGTGGAATTAAAATGACACACAACAATCTATTGGTTGCTGTCCAATGTATTGTAAAGCAAATATACTCTGAAGCGTGACCCATAATACTATCTCTACCGTCTCCTTTTTCAAATCAGCCTCAAACTTCCCCCTGTCCATTACACAGACATTTCATTTCTAGTGATTCTCCTGACATTTCATCACATAAATCCATTTGACAATTCGGCAAGCACCCAATAAGCACCTATGTGTATTGCCAGGCACTGCACTAGCAACTTGGGACTCAGAGAACCTTAAAGGTGTGCTTCTTGCCTGTGAGGAGCTCCAGTTCAATGGAAAAGCTCACAAACAGGAGAAATCTGGGGAGAAGACACCCTGAAGCAGCAGACAACAAAGAGCCTGCTGATGGGGAGAGCTCAAGTAATGAAGGCACATAGATCAGGTTCCAGTGGCAAGAGCAGCAGGAGCAGGATTGTTCATCCACTCATAGAATCTTAGGCTTGGAAAGGAGCTTGGAGGACATCCAGGCCAACTCCGTATTTGACTCTGATACAACTGTCTCATTACTGCTCACACTGAATATTTTTACTCTGCATTTTGTCAGTTTAGGTCTCTCACTCCCTGCCCCTCAGAGCCGTAGTATTTTAGGGTTAAAAGTCCTGATTAGTCGGTAATCTCACTCAAGCTTAGCCTCTCCACCTCCATCTCCTCCACATGAACCCATTGTCATTGTTCTTCTACTCAGTGCACCCAGGTGCTGAGCAATCAGTAGCAATTATTGCAGTTCTCTTTAATTTTTCTACCTTTTCTCTGATCATTTTATATGGAAAAAATAAGCCTTTCCATAGTCCCCAAATCATGCTTTTGTTCAGTAATGATTACCTCTACAAGTTATTAAGATAATAGTTTTGGGTTTTTTGTTTTTGTTCCCCCGCCCCCACCCCCGCACCAACAGCTGACTCTTAGGCATAGCTTGTAAACAAAGCCCAGCCTGGAGTGATCACTGTCTGCTAAATGGATAATCACAAACAGATGTCAGTCATAGGAAAACAGATTTTTCAGTTCTTCACCATTAAGCCTCTGAAAACTCTAAGCTGAGAGACAATCTTAAGAATAGTTAAATTATTTTACAGTGCACATATTTGATGCAGAAAATATCTCACCTTATAAAAGTGAGCAACAAGAATAATATGCATAGGGACAAGTGAGAGAAATCTGGGGGCAGGAGGACATTAGCTTATTTGTGCCCCTCAGCACAATTTCTGAGGCAGAATGTCTCTTGCCTCAAATGGTGTGGAGAGAAAGTAGGCCACCTTTTCCCCACCCTGGCAGCCTCATCATGGTCCACAACATAAACAGTATGAGAGTATCTCAACCCACTCGTTACTCACATGAGGACTTGTCGCAGCTCCACAGGTAAAGATGCAAAAGAAAACAACAAAAAACAGTTGCTGTTTGTGTTAGATTTCCTGATAGTAGCCACCAATGAACAGCCAAAAGGAAAAACAAAACCATCAACATGCAGTAGCTCCTAACCCAGGATTCTTTCTAGCTGGGACATATGAGGATGGGTGACAAAAAAGCACTCAGAATTTGGCGTTAAGATATATTCACTGAGAGAAGAAGAATTGTTCATTCAGTTTAAAGTTTGCCATAACATGAGAGTGAGTCAAACCAGAACTAGTTCTGAGGAACTGACGAAAGCCTGGCTTATTTGGAAAGTTTTGGTTTTGCTTTTAGCAGTTTGTCTTGAATGGGATTGCATTTCTGATTTGGCTCTCGGCTTAGCTATGGTTGGTGTTTAGGAATACTAGTGATTTTTGTATGTTCATGTGGGATCCTGAAACTTTGCTGAAGTTTATCAGCTGAAGGAGCTTTTGGGCTGAGACTATGGGATTTTCTAGATATAAAATTATGTCATCTGCAAACATGGGTAGTTTGACTTCCTCTCTTCCCTCTTGGATGCCTTTTCTTTCTTTCTCTTGCCTGATTGCTCTGGCCAGGACTTCCAATAGTATGTTGAATAGGAGTGGTGAGAGAGGGCAGCCTTGTCTTGTACCGGTTTTCAAGGGCATGCTTCCAGCTTTTGCCCCTTCAGTGAGATGTTGGCCATGGGTTCATCATAGATGGCTCTTACTATTTTCAGGTATGTTCCTTCAATACATAGTTTGTTGGGAGTTTTTTTTTTTTTAACATCCCTTGAGAGTTTGTAGCACCCTTTATTTCCCTCTCTTTCCACTATTCTTAAATGTGCTCCAGCTTCTCCAGTGTCCCTGGAGCACATTTAGGAATAGGGGAAAGGGACGGAATGAAGAATATCAGCATGTCTTAGTGCTGTGCCAGGAAATTTACTCATTTCCTAGGGCTTCTGTAACACATGACCTCAAGTCCTTGGCACTCCCTGACTTACAGTGGAATCACTCCAATCTCTGCCTCCATATTCAAATAACTTTCTTTTCTGTGTGTATCTCTATATTCCTCTCCTCTTATGAGGATACCATCTGTTGGATTAGTGCCCACCCTAATGCAGTATGACCTCATTTAGACTACATCTGCATAGACCCTATTTCCACATAAAGTCACATTCTGTGGTCCTCAGTAGACACGAATTTGGGGGGAACATTATTCAACCAACCTCACTTCATTTCATAGTGCCTCATTTCATTCTCAGTGCAATGTGTGGTTTAGAGTTAGACCCGTTTTACACATGAGAAAACAGGACCAAGATCAAGCAAAGTTGCCTTAGTTGCATGGCTGAATTTGAACTCTGACCTTGGTGGCCCCACTATACCCTGAGGCTTGTGACTGGTGAGATTAAAACCACATCGCAAGAAAAGGCCAACTTGAATATAGGCCTGAATGATCAATCCTTCTCCTGCTGCCTTCTGCCCTTTTCCTTGTGCTTGTAGGGGTAGGATCAGCAGAGATATGGGGCTGAACACTCAGACAGAGGATTTTTTCTTTTCTTTTCTTTTCTTTTTATTATTATTATTATTTTTTTTTTTTCTTTTTTGAGACGGAGTCTCGCTCTGTTGCCCAGGCTGGAGTGCAGTGGCCAGATCTCGGCTCACTGCAAGCTCCGCCTCCTGGGTTCCCGCCATTCTCCTGCCTCAGCCTCCCCAGTAGCTGGGACTACAGGTGCTCGCCACCTCACCCGGCTAGTTTTTTGTATTTTTTAGTAGAGACGGGGTTTCACCTTGTTAGCCAGGATGGTCTCGATCTCCTGACCTCGTGATCCGCCCGTCTCGGCCTCCCAAAGTGCTGGGATTACAGGCTTGAGCCACTGCGCCCAGCCTTCTTTTTATTATTATTATACTTTAAGTTCTAGGGTACATGTGCATAACGTGCAGGTTTGTTACATATGTATACTTGTGCCATGTTGGTGTGCTGCACCCATCAACTCATCAGCACCCATCAACTCGTCATTTACATCAGGTATCACTCCCAATGCAATCCCTTCCCCCTCCCCCCTCCCCATGATAGGCCCCGGTGTGTGATGTTCCCCTTCCCAAGTCCAAGTGATCTCATTGTTCAGTTTCCACCTATGAGTGAGAACATGCAGTGTTTGCTTTTCTGTTCTTGTGATAGTTTGCTGAAAATGATGGTTTCCAGCTGCATCCATGTCCCTACAAAGGACACAAACTCATCCTTTTTTATAGCTGCATAGTATTCCATGGTGTATATGTGCCACATTTTCTTAATCCAGTCTGTCACTGATGGACATTTGGGTTGATTCCAAGTCTTTGCTATTGTGAATAGTGCCGCAATAAACATACGTGTGCATGTGTCTTTATAGCAGCATGACTTATAATCCTTTGGGTATATACCCAGTAATGGGATGGCTGGGTCATATGGTACTTCTAGTTCTAGATCCTTGAGGAATCACCATACTGTTTTCCATAATGGTTGAACCAGTTTACAATCCCACCAACTGTGTAGAAGTGTTCCTATTTCTCCACATCCTCTCCAGCACCTGTTGTTCCCTGACTTTTTAATGATTGCCATTCTACCTGGTGTGAGATGGTATCTCATTGTGGTTTTGATTTGCATTTCTCTGATGGCCAGTGATGATGAGCATTTTTTCATGTGTCTGTTGGCTGTATGAATGTCTTCTTTTGAGAAATGTCTGTTCATATCCTTTGCCCACTTTTTGATGGGGTTGTTTGTTTTTTTCTTGTAAATTTGTTTGAGTTCTTTGTAGGTTCTGGATATTAGCCCTTTGTCAGATGAGTAGATTGCAAAAATGTTCTCCCATTCTGTAGGTTGCCTGTTCACTCTGATGGTAGTTTCTTTTGCTGTGCAGAAGCTCTTTAGTTTAATTAGATCCCATTTGTCAATTTTGGCTTTTGTTGCCGTTGCTTTTGGTGTTTTAGACATGAAGTCCTTGCCCATGCCTATGTCCTGAATGGTATTACGTAGGTTTTCTTCCAGGGTTTTTATGGTATTAGGTCTAACATTTAAGTCTCTAATCCATCTTGAATTAATTTTCATATAAGGAGTAAGGAAAGGATCCAGTTTTAGCTTTCTACTTATGGCTAGCCAGTTTTCCCAGCACCATTTATTAAATAGGGAATCCTTTCCCCATTTCTTGTTTTTCTCAGGTTTGTCAAAGATCAGATGGCTGTAGATGTGTGGTATTATTTCTGAGGACTCTGTTCTGTTCCATTGGTCTATATCTCTGTTTTGGTACCAGTACCATGCTGTTTTGGTTACTGTAGCCTTGTAGTGTAGTTTGAAGTCAGGTAGCATGATGCCTCCAGCTTTGTTCTTTTGACTTAGGATTGTCTTGGCAATGCGGGCTCTTTTTTGGTTCCATATGAACTTTAAAGCAGTTTTTTCCAATTCTGTGAAGAAAGTCATTGGTAGCTTGATGGGGATGGCATTGAATCTATAAATTACCTTGGGCAGTATGGCCATTTTCACGATATTGATTCTTCCTATCCATGAGCATGGTATGTTCTTCCATTTGTTTGTGTCCTCTTTTATTTCACTGAGCAGTGGTTTGTAGTTCTCCTTGAAGAGGTCCTTTACATCCCCTGTAAGTTGGATTCCTAGGTATTTTATTCTCTTTGAAGCAATTGTGAAAGGAAGTTCATTCATGATTTGGCTCTCTGTCTGTTACTGGTGTATAAGAATGCTTGTGATTTTTGCACATTAATTTTGTATCCTGAGACTTTGCTGAAGTTTCTTATCAGCTTAAGGAGATTTTAGGCTGAGACAGTGGGGTTTTCTAAATATACAATCATGTCATCTGCAAACAGGGACAATTTGACTTCTTCTTTTCCTAACTGAATACCCTTTATTTCTTTCTCTTGCCTGATTGCCTTAGCCAGAACTTCCAACACTATGTTGAATCGGAGTGGTGAGAGAGGGCATCCCCAGACAGAGGATTTTTTAAGAAAACATCTCTCCTTGCCTGGGCTTAGAGCCTTCCCTGCCTCCTTGTTTCTTCTGCAAAAGCAAGGCTCTCCTTTCTTCCTCCTTGTCCTGCATCCTCTTTTCGCTCCATCCCTTGAACAAGAAGTACTTTAAGAAGTACTACGAAGCTGTGTAGTACCTACAAATGGGAGTGGCTGCCTAGACCGCAAGAGTTGGGACTGTGACTGTGGGACCCATGTTTCCTCTGGGGACCTGCTTCTACACCTATGGCTCCAGGCTTGTGGTTTCCTTAGGAGTTGCCATTCTCTTACCTCACCCTCTGTTCCTGGCCACAGTGACTGACTGAGGAATGGACATATGTCCTTTGTGTGGCTTTGAGTTTTAGTATCTATGGAAACCACACCTCACCTACCAGAGTTCCTGTCCTTCTTTAGGAGTGAGGTGCACTCACCACAATTTCCTTTCCACTCTCTTAGGTAGCCTTTCTCCAGACTTGGCCTGCCTCTCCTCTTCACACTTTCCTTTGGGCACTTCAGCTCTGTTTCTCCACAGTTTAGGGCATCCTGAAGCAAAGGAAGGCCCAGGTATTTTCACAACAAGGCCAAATAAAACTCAAGCTAGTATCTCAGCACATTAGCCTGCCTCATAAATCTATATATCTAGAGAAAATAATGGAGGGGCAGAAACCAAAGTATTAATAAAGGCATTTCTGGGTGGAGGACTTGCAGGTAACTTTTTTAGTTTTTTGTTAAACTTTTATTTTACATAGGTAAACTTGTGTCATGGAGGTTTGTCATACAGATTATTTTGTCACCTAGATACTAAGCCTAGAACCCAGTAATGTTTTTTTCTTCTCTTTTTGCTCATCTCCCTCCTCCCCAGGGCCTCCACCCTCAGATAGGCTTCAGTGTGTGTTGTTCCCCTCTTTGTGTCCATGTGTTCTTATCACTTAGCTCCTACTTATATGTGAAAACATGCAGTATTTTGTTTTCTGTTCCTGTGTTAATTTGCTAAGGATAATGGCTTCTAGCTCCATCCATGTTCCTGCAAAGGACATGCTCTTTTTTATAGCTGTATAGTATTCCATAGTGTATTTGTACCACATTTTCTTTATCTAGTCTGTCATTGATGGGCATTTAGGTAGATTCCATGTCTTTGCTATTGTGAATAGTGCTATGATGAACATGTGTGTGCATGTTTCTTTGTGATAGAATGATTTACATTCCTTTGGGTATATACCCAGTACTGGGATTGCTAGATTGAACGGTAGTTCTGTTTTTAGCTCTTTGAGGAATTGCCACACTGCTTCCACAATGGTTGAACTAATTTACACTCTACCAATAGTGTATAAGCATTCCCTTTTCTCCACAACCTTGTCAGCATGCTATTTATTAACTTTTTTTTTTTTTTTTGAGATGGAGTTTCACTCTGTCACCCAGGCTGGAGTACAGTGGTGCTATCTCAGCTCACTGCAAGCTCCACTTCCTGAGTTCGTGCTATTC